TATATATATATATATATATATATGTTTGTGTGTGTGTGTGTATTATGAAGCAACATGTACTAAATCCCGTGCAAAGATGTTATAAGCTATAGTTGAATATAATTTTTCCAAACAATTAATTAAATTGGAACATGTGAGATTTCACAAAGTTAAATCACCCATTTCGTGTGTATGTGTATATATATAATCCTACAGTCTTATGTGCACATTTAGTTTCTTGGCGCGTCTTGATTAGACAATGATTTGCTTTCATTTATTTAAGCAAGTAATTGACATCATTAAATCTAACCATCCCCCAAAAGGAAAAACAATCGTATTACTCTTAACAACTTTCTGAAGCAACCTTTGGATCAAGAGGAACCAAACATATGATTGTAAGAACTAAAGTTAATCTTAACTAATTAGGGTGATTAAAACAACAATCTCACGAAAGAGAGAGAGAGAGAGAGAGAGAGAGAGAGAGAGAGAGAGAGAGAGATTGAATGGTCAAGGAGGCAATGATGTGGTGGGCTACATCACAGCATATCAAAGCTTCAATCCATGTCAAGATGTGTCCTAAAGCTGTAGGTGGACAGGACAAGAAGAAACCCCCCCCCTCTTGGATGCTTCCAAATCCACATTCCATATACATACATACATACATATATATATATATGTATATGTGTGTGTATGTTCAATAATACTTCTATAAAGCTTATGATTATCAATTTTTCAAATCTTTCTATCGTAAAAATAAATGTAACGTACGAATAAGGTTATCATATTCGTCTCTCTCCACTAGAAGAGCTACCGAGTGTTCTCTCTCGTGACAAGATCATTCCAACTCCCTCCACATTGCCAACACCAAGCAACAATGACTCACAAACATCGTACACAGTTGAGTCTACTCTTTAAATTTCTCCTGTAATATTTCAATTTTGTTATAAATAAATTATATTTATGGTGGAGTCCACCGTTACTGTTCACACCGACTTACTGTACATATATACGATACACCGACCGTATACATAAAAAGTAACTTCGGAATTTCTATAAATAGGCTATTTGGATTCCTTCATTTGTACACTTTCAAGAGAGATAAATAAGAAATACATCATTCTCCATTCTCCTAAAATACTGTTTTCGGTGATAGTTAATGATCGAATATCTGGGTCGTTTATATTTTCCCGATTTCATAACAAATTTAACCTTTTTTTTTAATTATCCTAATTATTTCGTTGATCAACCGGAAAAATGACAGAAATCCTCTTAACATGACGTATGGAACTTTTAAACACTTCATATTATCCTTTTATAAATTAGAATATATCTGTATGTATGTATATACTGGGATTCTATATACTTTCACATTATACTTTTGTAAATTATAGCGAGGAACCAAACAAATGTCTACTATCCCAGCAAATAGAAGCGTTACATATGCCCAACTCTTTCTGCGGGAATATAGAGAGCTGAACATAGATAATCATACATAGTAATTCGTTACAGGTCCCATAAAAAATCTCAGCACATGAATGTAATGTTGGAATCAATATGCGTCTTATATATTATATATTGCAGCTCTGCAAAAATTTGTACCCACTTCCAAATTTCTTCGAGTTAACACCCGACAACGGATATCTCGATCATTGAAGATGATGTTACTAGTGATGTATAAAGGTGTCCAAAGTTTAATAGCTAAGAATGATATTGAGAATTAAAATGAAAGGAGCAATATAATTATGAGATCATATATATGTATATATATAGAGAGAGAGTATGTATATGTGAGGAATTCCATGCAACAATGATTGCCAACTTCAATCAATTGCTAAAGATGGTTTCTAAATATATAATGATGGTGGGTCGAAGGCATCTGTGTGGTGTTTTCTCCTGTGGGTTCCCACTGTGTCTCCCCTTTTATTTTATTCTCTTCGTTTTTTTGGGGATTTTCAACCTTCTGCGACATATTTCATGTTGAAAATGGAAAATGGAAAATGGAAAGCCAACTCTTTTTCTACCATAGCTGACCCACATTTTGTATTGCACGTCTATGTATATGTGTGCATATGCATGTAGTGTAGTCATGTAGGAGTGGGTGTATTGAGATTCGTTTCGTAATTTTATCTGCTTTGCGAACGATTTATTCGGTATTCTAAAATTTATACCAAATTAGTACCGTATATGGTGGTTCAGCTTCGGTTCGGTTCGGACAACGTAAATGTTTTTTTTTATACATTGGGAACCCCGGCTGCTATCCTTCGGGCGCGCTGATCGAGTAAACCCAAGCCCACACGCACGAGCCTGCAACAACACACACATGGGAGGTAAATCAGCCGTAACTGACAGGCGATAGGTGAGCGTGCAAGGAGCAGGTTTCCCTACGACATTGTAAATGTTGATGTTGAATGAGAACACTTTGATTGATACATTAAACTATACGGGTCAAAGAGAAAGTGCAAGGAGATCGAAGAGAAAGGCCCAAATACTGAACCAAAGCCCACTATCGTTTGAGCCCAATGGGTTTGTCCATTCATAAGGAATATTCCCGACAAAAAACAGTTATTAATGGGCCATAAAATTGGGCCAAGCCATTGTAATTCCACGTCAGCCCATTTTAACTCGATCCAATGTATTGTGATAAAATTCATGGATATTTATGCGAGTGTGTGCAATTTGTGATCGACCAAAAAATAATGGACCACAAGTAGTACAAAAAGCAGCTTTTCTCATTTCAACGTGGGTGGTACATCAAAAGGCCTAACACCCTTTTCCTCCTTTTCAATCCCCTCTTTCTAAATATATTTCTTTTTCTTATAATAATGTATTATATATTAGTAATTTCAGATATTATGATTTAATTAATAAAGCATATATATATTTGGATGCTGCATTGGGCAAGGTAGCATGACCAGACAAAGGTCCTCGGTAGAGAATTTTTTCGCGTAGGTACAAAGAAACCGCATGAGAAAAAGTGTATGTGTGTGTATATATATATATATTATATAATTAAATTAGTAAACGGGCAGTGGACAGACATGAGGAGCACAAACTCAGTTTCTGACCGAACCTAACGTTAGATTACACTCCTGACGGTATTCCAACACGTACACAGGTTGTACAGTTGTGAATCTGTGATTACATCAAGTTTTTTTTTTATGTTTTTGTATTGTTACTGTTCCTTCATGAGAAATGGTAAAAATAAAAAATATAAAACTGTCGAAGATTTGTAAACTATTGTCAATCGTGGATATAATGAAATTCCATAATATAGATCATCATAATAAAAATTTGTCGGCAACGCCAACTCTTTTTAGTTTTTTTACAACACCCGTATCTTTTATTTAGTTAGAAATTAGAAAGAAAACAAATACAACCATACAAATTTTTTAAATGATATAATTGTTTGAAATAAGATAAATTAAAATTAAAAAAAAAAAATTGCGATGGAGTCCAAAAGAACGAAAACTTGGCAGAACATGTCATTTAACATTTTCATAAAAAAAAATTGTACCGAATTTCACAAATTAATAAATGAAGATACTAGATCATCGTTTTTTTTTTTTGCAATTTTAAGTCTGTAAAATATACATGTTTTCCTGCAAAATCATTATTTCTTATTTAAAGAATGGATTTGTAAATTATTATATTTTCTCCTTTCTTTAAACATAAAGGCTTATCACTTTTTTTTTGGATCTAGGAAACACGTAGTGCAAGAACGGAGCTTTGTCGGACAAAGTTACAAGGACCCCATTCCTTATTTTCTTTTTCCGGTTAGCACAATCCATAGTTACCCAATAAATCATTTACATACACTAATTTCTCATTTTTATTCTTCAAAACCATAAACGTTTTTAAGATATATTTTGTTATTACACAAAAAGAAATAATTGATTTCGATCACATGAACAAAGGCAATAGCAACACGCGGGCCGGCCGCGGGATAACTTTACCCGTCAGAATATGGCCCACACCTCATGTTATTGTCACCTCCGCACTTCGAAGGGCATTTATGTAATTTTAGAATCCGTGTTACATGTCTTCCATGACATGTATGTATGGCACATTAGCCAAATCCGTATCATGGTCCGACGCCTTTTGTATTATATCATCGTATATGGATCACATTAGATATTAATGATACGTTAGTACCAACTCTTCATCGAAATCCATATAAAGGAAAGGTTAAAATAGGGGGAAAAGTAGAGATTGCGGTTCACGTACGTTTTAAATTTTTTTCTAGAAGACTCGAAATTTTTGCTGATTCTCATTGAACGTTTTTTTTTTCCGTTACAACTTACGAGCGATGGCGCTTGAACCACACGCGCGGCCTCTTTCCAACTCGCCACCTGTTCCGAGGCCGCTTTGTTACGCGACTAAACTATAAAATTCCCAAACCCAAAATAGAGTCGGGGGAAAAAAACGTTCAGGCCATTCGCCAGATTACGCCGTCTGATAAAAGCTCAATCGCTCGGTTCATCATTCAATTTTGCGGCACTTTTCAGTTCTCTCAGTGCTACGGATCGGAGTAGATCTCCAAAACCTAGCTGTTTCTCTCCTGTTTTCGAATATTATCTTCTTATTCTTGCTCAAGATTCTCTCTCGGTTTCTGTCGTCTACCGATGCATTTCGCGGTTGATCGGACTCCGTTTTGATCGCTCTGTTTTGTCTTCGGTGGTAATCGAATTCCTCTTTGCATTTCTTTTATTGTTCGAGTTGCTTTGATCTGACATTGATGATCCGGATAAGGTTGTTTGGTTCGCGTTGTGGCTTAGTGGATTTTTATCAGATTCCGATTAATTTTTGTTCGGAGTTCCCGTTTGCTTTGATTTCTGGATTTTCTGATGAGTTTCTTTGCATTATGCATTTGATTGTGGCTCTCCAGAGGAGAAGAAGAGACGGAGAGATGGAGATAGAGATGGTGAACTGAGAGGAAGAGCGAGCGAGATTGGAAGAAGAGAGAGAGATGGAGGATAGAGGAGGCTCGTTCGTAGCCGTCAGGAGGATTTCTCAAGGTCTTGAACGGGGAGATGCCTACCATTCCACATCTGGTACGTCCATTTCTCGCTTTTCCCTGTTCGTACTTTTCAAACATTTTATTTCCTTCGGAAACAACGCGTCGGCGTCTCGCAGTTTCAGAACTCAACCTCTCTCTTTCTCTCTCTCTCTCTCTCTCTCACACACACACACAAACTTCAGCGATTGAATATATACATATCTTTGATTCGGTGTGGCGGATCTCTGTAGCCTTCGGTAGATTCTCTCAACTCGTGGACTCGATGTGTGTGGATGCTTTATGTACATCCGTTGATCAATTTGATCTCCGCTATGGATTTCTTAGGCTTATATGCTTAAGACGGTATTTATATCGATTAGATTAGTCATAGGCCGATTATTTGCCGTAACCTAGCGTTAAGCCTTTATTTATGACCGAGTTGTGTTTTATATTTGCTTTTGAATCCTGCGGAGTGGAGTGTGAACACATCGAATACATGGATGGACATATTATATACAGTTCGAACGATTTACTGTTTCTGGTCGTGTTTTTGTAGATTTCTGACACTTAGCGGCGTTGTATGTGTTTGAGTAGTTTGCTTTTCATGTTGTCTAGAGAAATTTGTTCTACGTTGCAGACTGTTGATGGTACTTTAATTTTTGCCTCTTTTACAACCTTTACAAGCAAGAATCAGTTTTCAGTATGAAACCAGATTCTAAACGGCTCATTATCTGACATAATCACCTAGTTTTCATTTAAAGACAACAAAACTATGGTTTGATGCTAGTTGATTGATTTTTGTTGCAGCTGAAGTTGTGGCTGGATCAGCAGCATGGTTGGGCAAAGGTCTCTCTTGTGTTTGTGCTCAAAGGAGAGATAGTGATGCAAATTCTTCGTTTGACCTAACCCCTGCTCAGGTAGCCTGTCCTTAATCACTTTTGAGTTTGAACATTTGTTTTCGTGTTCACTATATGAAGATAACATGCTTCTCTTCTCGTATCAATTCTACTTCCCAGAAATGTATCCAAGTGACTAATAACTTCTAACTTAATGGTGATGCTCACAGGAGGAATGCTTACAGAGACTGCAGAACCGAATAGATGTGGCGTATGATGGCTCAATACCTCAGCACCAGGTACATTTGTGAGAGGTTTTGTGAGCTGTGAGAATTGCCCATGAAAAAAGACGTACATTTCCCCTCGAATGGATGTTTTAATGACTCTTCGATTTTTCTGTAACTTGAATTCCACTGCAAGCCTAACTTCATAAATTGAAGTGTACTGATGGTCTGACAATCATTTTGTGCTTCTTGTTATGCATGTAGGAAGCTCTGAGGGCTCTGTGGAAACTCGCCTTTCCTGAAGAAGAGCTCCATGGAATAGTGTCTGAGCAGTGGAAGGAAATGGGTTGGCAGGGAAAGGATCCATCAACAGATTTTAGGTATATATGTGATTCCTCACCTTATCTGCATTTTCCTTTGATTTTCTTGCTTTCCTCTTCTTTGACTCACTCGTGAACGTTATCCGGCAGGGGCGGTGGTTTCATATCCCTTGAGAACTTGTTGTTCTTTGCTAGGAACTTTCCGGTATGCCTACACCTCTTCGTTTATAAATGCCTAGAAAGCATCTGAATTACCTTTACATTAAATTCTTTCAGTGGTCAAGCATCAATCTCAGTGGCACGTCTCTCCATCTGTGGTATCCCCATGTTTAGTTACATGACTATGTCCTAAATGACTTGTCTGTTGGGTGCAGAAAACCTTCCAGGATCTTCTGCGTAAGCAGGTTGGGGACCGTTCTGTTTGGGAATACCCCTTTGCCGTTGCTGGTATCAATATTACATTCATGCTCATCCAGATGCTTGATCTAGAAGCAGGTACATACATTTGAATTTTTCATGATCGGGGATCATGGGGAACCATGATATTCTGGTTTCCTGCAGCAGTATGCAGTGTTATGACTCGCTAATTTTAACTTGTATCTCTGCATGTACAACATGAAAGTGATCTTATTTTCCTGTTTTATTTCTTAACCCACCCGTGCAATCATATTACATAAGATATTTGGGTTCAGTAACAGTATCTTTCAAATTTACAGTGAGACCGCGAACAGTTGTTGGGGCGACTTTTCTGAAACTCTTTGCTGGTAATTTTCAGACAGTGCTGATTGTGGATGTTTCATTTTCCCCCCTTTCCAGACGAATAGTTTCCCAATGATGATCAAAGGCCTTTCCCCGAACAATTTTGATTAATTTGTGAGTGGGTGTTGTGGCAGAGGACGAATCTGCATTTGACCTTCTCTATTGCATTGCGTTCAAGCTGATGGATCATCAATGGCTAGCCATGCGCGCCTCATACATGGAGTTTAATGTAAGTGTTCCTTTTCGGGCAGAGGATTGTTCTTTCTGTTAATGCAAGTTGTGGAGGATGATGACATTCACGTGATAACTGTCATTGTTAGCAGACAGTGATGAAATCTACGAGGAGACAACTGGAGAGAGAGCTGATGATAGACGACATAACAAGACTTGAAGATCTGCCTTCATACGGCCTTCTCAGCCGGTAGCTGAAGTGAAAGAGTTTGTTTGTAGAAGAGAACCCCCCAGCAGAGAAAGCAACAGGAGACAATGGTTTTCTTCTCTTCCTTTTATTATCGTGTTTCTTTTTAGTTTCCACGATGTGATGATGATACACGATTGATATATTTTGACACCTGAAAGATTCGGTTGGTTGGTTGGTTGGTCGGTTTTGGTGGCAGAGGAGAATCATCAGGTGCTGGCTATGTTTTTGGCATAGCTATTGAGTTTCTAACTATGTTGCTAGACATATATTGTGTGTGTGTGTTTGTTTTTTTGGGGAACAATCTCGGGTTGTTTTGCTAGTTGTTTATTATAACTACATAAGGGCAAATTCCTGGGTCAAGCTTCCAGTAGGGTGATTCTTTGGCCTTAGGGTTTTGGGATTAGACAAATCGGATTCGCTGTGGTGGTTCCTTCGTATACAAAAGTCAAATATATGACAACCCCGAAGGAATGCTCTTATTAAATGAATCGACAACTACTAAAGCTTCTCATTTTTTTTCCTTTCTTTCGGTTTTCTTTAAAGAGAGACTGAATAATACCCTTTGAACTCATTTTGTAATTGGTGGTCCGCACGGTTATTATGGACGCTTAGAGAGCAATAAAGAAAATAAAATCAAGGAGGCTTGGGCAATAGTTACGGATTACTGTTTTCTTCCTCATATAATAAACGCTGTGATGCTCAGAGTGGATCACCACATAAAAGCATCATTCATTCAACTGTATCAGATGAGCAAATAAATACTCGGATTAAACCGCAACAATTATCCAATATCCTCCGAATTCCTCTGATCGGTAGAACCAAATCAGCACGAGCTCATCTTACAGAGGAAATCGGCCCATAATCTGCGAGCACTGTCACTGAAATGAAATGCCTATGGAATTTGCTGAGATAATTTGGGCCTTTCATGGGCCTGTGAATCACAACATCTACATCTGGCCAATTTCAAACATTATAAAATATGTAATTCCTAAACTAATATTGTCATCTCTCTAAAAGATGATTAAACGAAACTTCTATAAACAAGTCCTTGGGATATGTGATAGATCTCAATTTACTTAACCAATGCACATAAAATTGTAACAATAAAATAAGACTTGCAAAATAAGATATATTTTTCATTATTTTAATATATACATGTTGGAATTGAGCCTAGACTTAAAGCACATGACCAAAACGAAGGAGAAACTGTATGTGTGTTTGAAGAGAATGACTTACTTGAAGAGCAAGCAACTGTGAACAAAGGTAAAACAACCCAAAGCAACATATCAGGAGAAGATATTCTATAAGATTTGCCGTTTGATGATTGACTTCATATCTCTATAATTTAGTCCACCTAAATGTAAATTTACCTTATAATTGTTCTCTGTTTATTTTATTTCCTTTTCTTTGTATTTGACTTTCTCATTATATATACACGATGTATACCGTATAGATAATAATATACACAGAGCATTATTTTCTCAAAGCGTTTCTCTCAATTCTTCCTGTTTCCTTCGATCCAATCATTAGTGTTTTCAATACGTGTGTCCAAACCGATTGAATTTTATCCCAATCTTAATTAAAATAGAAATAAGTCAACAACAAGGAAAAGGGGAAAAAGAGAGTAAAATGGACCCATTGATATTCAAATTCAACCATATGCCCCCGTGCTGTTTGTGCTGTTTGCTTTGGCCCGGAACAACCCCACGACGCCGGAGCCATATTCGATTTCCGAAAATATATCAAAATTCTTTTGAAAGTATTTTTTTTTGTGTTAACTGTTCTTTTGAAAGTATTCTTTCAAACAAAACCAAAAAATAATGAAAACTCTACTCTCTTTTTACATTAAAAAATTTATTTTTTAATTTCCAATAAATTATTGATAATATATTTATTGATATAAATTATTTTCTCATTCAAAAAATGGAATCACATCAGTCAAGATATTTTGTAATTTTCTAATGCTACTAAATGATTCTAGTAAAAAAATATTAATTTAGAAAATATTTACATTTAGTAAAAAGAAAGAAGAAAATCTTGATGTTTTAAAATTTTGTGGTTAAGGTTCTTAGTATCGAAAACAAAAATGTCCAGAAAATCAACGAAGATTGATTGAAAATAATAGGAAAAAAAATCTATCTGCTTTTTTAGTGAAAAAAGAATTTCAAAGCAATGTAAAATATAATTTGTTTTAGGCGATGATCTTGAAAATATACGGGGACACTGATATTATATAGATTTAAAATGTGATATTTTGGAGAATTGATTTACTGAATTAATATTAGTTTTGATTGACATATCTTTTTGCTTGTTAATAAAATTTTTCGGATTTTAGTTAGATTAAATTCAATTTTTTATTTTTAAATTAAAAAGTTATATCAATTAAATTGTTATATTTAATTTAGTTCAATTCAATTGATACCTAGATTTAATTTGTATCTTTTTTTATTAAAAATAATTATTTTAAAATATATTTATGAATTTTATCTTTATTTAAGATTCAATTAAATTAATTTATAAAAAATAATTATATGATTCCTATACAATCTGACAGGCATAATTCTCTTTCAAAATTTTCTCTTCCATAATTTCCTTTTGTGTCAATCAATCCAATAACATCAAATCTACAATTGACCTGACTCAGGTTTACGTATATAAATTTAAATAAAATCAAATAATCGATGTTATATTTTTTTTTATCTCGAATTGTGAATTAAAAAACTATAATTTTTTTTAAATGAAATGTGCAGAAAAATAAACACGTGGGGAGAAGAGAGGGAAAATGAAAAGACGGAACAAAAGAATAATTGGGGCATTTCGAAAATGGCAACCGAATCTTCTTTCCAAACCTTTTAAAGTAAATAATCCAAAACAATTGCATATTTCATGTGAACTTTGGGTCCACTCTTTTCCCAAATTATTTATCTGAATCTCTATTCTACTTTCTGTTGTAACGATTGCTAGATATTTTAGTGCCCCAAGATATTATATCTCTACCCTTTTGTATTTGATCTCTGTATTATGCACATGCATGTTTTTTTCTCAATTATATATATTGGATGCAATTATATTTAGGAAATTTGATACTACGGATATTTTTTAAAGTTATTATATAAATACGAAACATACATCTTACATTTTATAAATTTGTAAACTACAATTTACAAAAAATTGTAAATTTTATATATTTTTGTGGGTTTTCTACCCTACCATATTAGAAATATATGGGAAACTTAGTAGATATTAAAAATTATTTACTTAAAAAATTAATAGATCATTAATCTCTAGCAGATACTATGTCATAAATTTTTATTTGCATTAATGTGATAGTGAAAACGATTTATTAGATCGTGTCCTGAGGCATCGCGATACAATCATATCACATCTCACTATCAATACAGATTTTGAGAATGAAAATAAGAGTCAACGCAACTATTAATATAATTATTCCAATTATATTTAGTATCCTAATGTAAGGATCATTTGAAAGAACTTATTGTCAAACTCTTTCAGATATGAATCTATCTGATTCAGAAGAGAAGAGCTTGCATCAGTATATATGTTTTTCTAGTTCATGATTTTATTACAAAAATTATGTATCCATGCATTTATTTGATTATTTCTAAAACCTATGATTACTAATTTTTTTTAGTTTCATGTATTTTTAATTCGTTTTAGAAAAAATCCCAAAAAAAAACATTGAACTTTCAAATTTTGACAAAAAAAACACTTATTTTTTTATTTTACCAGATAAACATTAAACTTTTTAAGTTTGACATAGTAAACACTTAACTCTTCAACGATTGTCAAAATAAATAAAATGACTGACGTGGCACAATCAGATGCAAACACGTCAGATTATTTTTTTTAGTTTTTTTTACAATCGAAAAAAGTTCATGTATTTTTTTTTATTACTAAAAAAGTTCAGTGTTTTTTTGATAATCGGAGAAAAGTTCATGTATTTTTTGGATCACTTAAAAAGTTCAGTGTTTTTTTAGATTCGCTTAAAAAGTTTAATGTTTATTGTTTTTTTGTCAAAATTGAAAAGTCCAGTGTTTTTTTTTTTGGATTTTCCCTTTGTTTTAAATTATTGTACATATATATATGCTAATTACATTTTCCATATACATATTTTACGGGCATTATATCAAAAATACCCTTACTTTGCTATTTTGACTTCAACACATAGTTTTCTAAAGTTGTGACCATGTGACCCATGTGGCCCAAAATATAGTGTGGTCACATTTTGATTTTATTGATTAAAACATTAAATTAATGGCATCACACTAATTCATTATGTTCATACCTTGTATATCTTACTAATCATTTGATTAAAACATCATAAATTTAACGTTATGAGTAATAAGATCAATATGTGACCACACTATATTTTGGGTCACATGGATCACATGGTCACAGGTGGATAAGGGTATATGTTGAAGTCAAAATAGCAAAATAAGGGTATTTTTGATAATGACCCTATTTTACATATGTTACAAAATTGAATATTTAAGGCCATAGTTAAAAAAGATAATTTGTTATACCGTAAAGTCCTTTCCTTTTTTTTGTATATCAAGAAGTGTTATTTACTTCTAAATAACGTTAAATTATGCCTTTAAATCTTATACATCTTTATTAATTCAAATTTGCCCCTATTTAAAATTCTCCTATTTAAAATCTTATAAATTCAAAAGACTATATTTTTATACAAAATCTATATAGTAAAAAAAAAGTATAATACCCTCCTAATAAGCTAATAATATGTTACAGTAACACCTAATAAAACAGAGAACAAGGGCGAGTGAATGCCTGTATGAATATAAGTAGTGTAAAAAACAAAACTATCAATTGTATTTGAATTACTGTGTAATATATTACTAGAGAAGCAGAACAAAGGAAGAGAAATATTCTTTTGATAATTTTGTGCAAAAACTAACAACTAAAATCCTTGCAATCTTTTAAGAGTAAGATATTTTCATATTCTTCTCATGTACATGTTATATCTTATTATAAATATCAATATGCGAATAAAAAAATAATAGAAAATTGTGTTTATTTACAAAAACCGTATTTATTGGTGAGAATTGTATCTATTTATAACGTTTGTTTCTATAAAATACGATTTATACATCCCATCAGAAATGATTATATAAAAATACAACCTTTTAATATAAATAATCATAACTCTGAAATAACAAATAACCATTACTCCTAAATAGTTTTTTGCTCTAAAATATCTCGCACGCATAACAGTACCCCCAAGATCAACGTGGGACGGCCTGTGACATTCCACCAAAAACTGAAAGTACATAAAAAAAGTTATATCTTTCTGCCCCTCTTTGTTTTTTGTTTGGTAAAGT